AGGGCAAAATATTGAAGACATGGGTTGCAGTGGAGAGATGCTCAGAGTCAGAGGAAGAGGATCAATTGGCTAGCATCAGATGGGGTTTGGAGAAGGCAAGGGAGCAACAATGGCCTCAACTTGTGTGCTTAATCGATCAAAAAGCTATTTTGAGGAAGCTACTTTCAGGATCCGGTTTTTTTCCACATTTGTCATGTATTGTTAAGGATATTATGTATTTAAACTCAATTGTGTGCTCTGATGCGTTTGTATTTGGGGGTAGTTTCTGTTTATTAGCTAGATCTTTAGCCATTGAGGCTGTGAAGGAAAATCAAGTATGATTTGGCATGTATAGCCTACTTTGAGGTTAGTGCTTGAAGTAGGTTGGTAAGTGGTAACCAGTTGGTTATTCGGTTGTAGCTGAACTTTTTCTTGAGTTATATTTAAGTCGATTACCGTTTTGGAAAAAATAAATCTTATTAGCATTAACCTTCTTCTGATTACATTAGTATAATCATTTCAAGAGTTTTTATTTTGTTAGAATTACAATTTCCCTTCGAATGCCAAGTTGGAACTGAAACAAAACAAAATAAATTAAATAAGCATAAAACAGTATTTTGCTTTAGAAATTAATCTTATTGGTTATTAATTAGTTTATACAATTTATAATGACCTATGTTTGTTATAATGAACTTTGGCTTGTGAGCTTCAAGAATGGGCCAATCTTTTACATGTGAAAATCAATGTGTTCTCTTGAGTATTTTTATATCAAGAACAGGTTCTTCTGTGTGCACAACATTCCCAAAATCATGTAACATCATAAAAGTGTTGATAACTATTTAGCTAACATACTGTTAGGCAGTCATAAGAACATGTTTGTTTATAGAAATTTTTAGTATTGTTTGATTTTTTTGGTTTGATTTGGTAAAATGTGGAATGAATAGTTATTAGTGGATATATTAGAATAATATTTAAAACAAAATAATTAAAATTGATTTGATGAAAAGTAGGAGATAGATGAGTAGAAGTAATATTAGTTAAAATAATGTGTGGATGAATAGTAATTAAGATTGATGTGGTGTGTATGAATGATTGATTGTTGGATATCATTTAATTGTATTGACAATATGGATGATAGTTGATTTGAGTTAAAATTGAGTAAAAAATTGGTTGAGTTAAAATGTTGAAATGTTTTTGAAATTTTCATAAACAAACATGCACTAACTTTTAGATAGATTCTTTTTTATAATTGAATATGCAAATTAACATATTCGAATGTCAATAATTTAAATAACATGCTAAATTGTAGAATATTGTCAGTATCTTGTACACGGTGACAATAATAGCCACCATCTTTAAGAATTGACAATATTAGCCATCATCTTTTAAAATTTTGAGATTATTACACAAATTCAACCAAATTCGACAGATAAATTGTAAAATATAGCCAATATTTTTTTACGCAGTGGCGACAATAGCCATCGAATTTGTTCGGACAAGGGTAATAACCCCAAAATTTTGAAAGTTGTTGGTTAATATTGCCATTTCAAAAAGATGGTGGCTAATATCGCCACCGCGTACAAGATACTGGCTATATATTGCAATAAAACCTAAATAACAGCATGGCATTTCACTACATAAGCATTTATTTGTGTTTAAAAAGTATGAAGGTTTGTGGAGAGGTTGAAGAAACACAAGAGCATGCTTTATTCCTTTGCAAAAGAGCAAGAGCCACATGAAAAATTGCTCCTGTCCAGTGGAACATAATCATGGAAGAGTAATTGAGCTTTAAATATTGGTGGTGGTGGATTTGCACTATGAAGATGGAGGATATTCATGAAGACCGCATCGAACTATCCACCTATATACTTTGGTGGCTCTGGCGTGCAAGAAATTTGTGGGTGTTTGAAAGGAAATGGCAGCCGGAGGTTTGCATAGTGAAGGCAGCTATGCAGGACTGGCTGGATTTTTCAGATAGCAGATCCGAGCTGTAATAGGTGCAGAAGAGTGTTCACTAGGTCTCGTGTCAGTTGTGTTCATTTCCTTCTTCA